GCTACTTGCTACATACAAATATGATCATCAGTAGATGGAATATCTGGAACCTCTATAGACCTGTAACTATCTTCAGATAGACTTGGAGATAGACAGTGTGATGCTTCCATCTCCACAGGCATCTGGTCAAAAATCCTTTGTCTCAAGCCAATCATGCTACATAGGAGGCATTGAGGTTATAGATGAGGACCTAAATTGCCTGCAATATTCTCAGCAAAGGATCAATGCCACTGTCATGAATGCATATGCCAGTCTTTTATCTGATAGAGACCCTAGCCTGATCAAAGCAGGATGTATTATTCTCAGTTCACTGATTCCTGACTTGATACACCATGGCAAACATTTAAAGATAAAAAACCTAGATAGTAACATTTTTTTTAGTCTTTCCATTTAAGCAGAAATTTATAAACTCAGTTTCATTCTGACCTTTTGTACCTAGATAACCAAAACAAAGATGCTTGCCTTCTTCAGATATTGAGCTTTTCCTCTGTGTGGAAGAAGTCCCTCTCACTGGATCCTGGGTTGGGTTGACTGGTCAACTCATGAATGTTTCTTTAATATTACCTCCAATATCCTCACTAGCTCATTAAATGTACATTCAAGACCATCTTGTGGTCTGGGTCAAAAAGTACCTTTGCAAGACACATTCAAAGAAAGGGGCTAAGTGCATCATAGATGATATCAACCAAAGGTAATGTTTTATTTGCTTGATAATATATAGGACAATCTCACTAGTTTTGTCTAGAATTGCTACTGTTCCAGCCTTTATTGGTATTTACCCTCCACAAGGACAAGGCTTTAAGCAATAGATGTATAATAACTCAAAGGTGCTCATAAAGGTATGTTTTTCATGGATCGGTGTTACTAACATCTCACTGACATATAGTGATAGGTATACTTATCTACCATCAAAGGACATATCCCTATAAATAGTTTAAACATTCAAGCCTTCCTGTAGTTTTGTTACCTTGTCTGATATAGCACCATTACAGAGAAGACTCTTGAACAAATACAGAGGCCTTTAACTGCTTCTATCAATATTGAGAGATTTTTGAAACAGTTGGCATTACATTTTCACTCCCTTACCAATACTCATATCAACACTATGTACTACTTACTCATTTGTTTAGGGCCCCAAATGGCCTGTGCTCTTCAATCACTGGGCCTAAGTACATAAAGGCTGCCAAAGAACCATGGATGCACTCTAGCTGGTACAAGCCACTTGGCCAAATATTGATCACAAATAAATGCCTTGATAAACTTGCAGCATCATGTGTTGATTTTTACCTAGCCCAAAATGCTTGATAGCACAGGTCTTTCTGTGGCTGCACTTGCAGTAGGTATATGTAACATGTTTTGTCATCAGCATGCTCTTGCTAATGCCTAAGTAGAAAAAATCTGTACTATGAACCTTGAGCCAAATGAAGCAGACCTATAGGAAAATCCAGCTGCACACTGCACTGTCAGTGGCACAGACTTAGATGACAGGGATGATAATGCTTATGAAGTTGGTAATGGGTCAATAAACATTGAAGCATACATTGAGTTGGTGAAAATACCTCATAAGTAATCCAGTCTCTGTTTTATTAAACTGATCTAACATATGATATAGAATGCAAATGTGCTTACATAGTCACTGCATTAGCAGTTGAATTGTCAATCACCTAATTCCCTAACCTTTACATCATTTTCTATTCAGCCAATTTAATCCAGACAATCCTCACAACCTTTCTGAAGTTCTGCTCACTCATTGTCTCCCAATATGACAGGAAAATAAGTGTTTTCAACTCCACATTCAACTTCACATTCAACTCCACATGTTTGAAGTTCTTTGCCCTAAGTGATCTAAGTGATATCAGGGGCATGCGTCATGAGTATATCCAATGTGGGGAAAGAAATGAGGGGTATGAATGTTACATGAGTGCTAACTTTTTTCTTTTGTATATAGGGCTGAATTATACCCATGTGTAGTTATGAGATGGTTAAATATCATTGGAGATTCACCTGATGAAGACACTGGATTGTGGATGGTACAGCCTGCTCATAATACCAACAACCCCTCCCCCCTACCTCTATCAATTCAATTTCCTGTGCTGCATGCTTTGTTCCTGTATATAGTACTAACCTATTTTTCTGCAATATCAGCACCATCAAATTCATAATGTTTTCCACACATTCTATATTAACAAATACACAGATCACTATGCTTTTAAAATCACATTTTAGACTTTTTGCACAGTTCTTGCTTGTTATACTTAAATTGAACTTTTTTGACTTCACACATGAATTTGTTTGCACACTTTCTGATAAGTAGAAAAGCAACCTTCAAGGTAGTTCAAAAATCTTGTTCACAAGTATTAAGTAAAGTAAGGCTAAATCAGGATCCAGTGAAATTACTGATGATACTAGGTACTATCTACAGACTCTCACAAAAATCTAGCTCTTGAAGTGCATGGATTCCAAGATGCATGATTTTAAAGGACAGGTACAACCACTTACTAATAGCATGAGCTACATCTACACTACAAAGGCTGCTGCCTTGGAGTGTAAGATTCCTAAGGCAAACATTAACCATTATAGAGACTCATGCTGGGCCAGGCTTAGAATAGCCTATATTATAACTTGCTTTATTTGACTCATTACCAGTGTCATTCTATTATACACTATGCAACTCTAACTGTATCCCTAGTCAATTCTCTATATAGTACATTACTTTTCTGCACTAGCCACTGCATTCCTGTGAGTGCACCTTGTGCACTTTCCCATGCTTGAAGTGCCCTATGTTACCCATTATCTAAAAGCTTCCATCTACTGTCCAACCAACTCACTGTGACAATCATGTTCAGGCTAGCCTGCTAGGACCCCATTCTGTGATGTATGACAAACCCTATCCAGTCTGCATGTCTCCTATCCATCTCCAATGCATTGGGCCCATTCAGAGATCCCATGCACTTGTCCTACCATATCCAGTCCAGTCCTACTTATTCCCACTGGTGCATAGTCAGTTATTTCTCATTACTAATTGAGTAGACAGCATTATTACATGGATTCTCACAAGCTGCAGTACCTCATGGCCTTTTACCTACACATCGTCAGATCCATGTTTTTGCTACTACTTTCACCTATGGACTCTGGACTTTCATGTAGTTAGTTGTATAGGATTGGGTGACCAGGATTACAATTACCACTTAGTAGGGGTGAGAAATCCCCAATACTGGTCACTCCATACCTGTCCTTAGAATTACCCTTGCCAATATACCTGTTTACCCACTCTCCTTGACCCAACACTATTGTCACTCATTCATTTGACATTCCTTAACATCTCCAAGTTAGTCCTGATTCTTTCTCTTCCTTTCTCTTACTCTCCTGCCATCTCCACATCTTCACACCTATGGACCTGATTTTCCACACATCAGACATTGCCCCATACCTTCAAACTTTTGACCCCTTGTGTAGTACTGATTATTGAACTTGACTAGACAGCAGATCCCTCAGATCAAATGTTCTTGCTTGCAAGTGTAGCAGCTGGGCAGGACTAGTATACATATATTGGCTAGGTATTCTAACAGCTATCTAGCCAAGTTGTGTTATCCACACCACCAGTGCATATTACTCTCTATTTTCATTATTCCCATGCTCTTACATAATTACCAATACTGTATGGCACCACTTTTTCTAGGCTAAGCAGGCATTACATAGCACTTACCTTACCTTAGTTCATTTTTACTTGGAAGCTGAGGAGGTGCTACTTACTTACTTAGAGACTACCTCATGAGTTTGTACTACTATAGAGAGTTCATTATGGGCCAATTAAGCTGCTTTTTGTGCTTACTCTCCTGCAAATTTTCACTATGGAGAGCCTCTCATTTTCTGGTCTTGTGTTTAGTAGCAGTCCCCTTTAGGGTTAAATATGCTTGTTCTACAAATATATCAGCCAGGTGCAACACTGACCTAACATTTCTAAGGATTCCTATTTTAGAGTCCTCTTGTTGAACAACCTTCACCATCACCAATGTGACATAGAATTTTAACACAAGTGGGCCAAGAAAAAGTGTTATGAGACTGCTATCTGTCATATCCTGTATTCCAGACCCTAGATTCCCACACTTTTCTGATTATATCTCCAGTTCCTGTCTCTGACCTATTTCTTGTTCTTCCTCCATTATATGCTCCACACCTCAGCAGAATCCACACCACTATTAGTTATGCCTAAATTCTAGACTCCTGGACATCCAAAGCTAGCCTGCTCCCTCCACCTTCTATCCAATCCATGCTGAGCATATTTCATCCAGAAAGACATCCAGACTTTTCCTCTACCATGATTCCAGATGTCATATCCTGTATACCAGACCTAGATCCCATGATATTCCCACGCCTTCCAGTGAAGGTGAGGACTATGAACTATGAGAGAAACTGACTACTACTAAGGAAACTCTACAGCAAGACCTGGATGCGAGATAGAACTTGACCCAAAGGACAGCTACTGAGAGAGAGTCCTTGAAATGACTGAGGGAGACTCTGAAACTGAATGGGTGCTAGAGGACATGTGAAGTGTGATTGAGATGTGTGCAAAAGTGCACATGATGGAGGTCTAAAGTGTAGAGGCATAGGCTACCTAGAAACTAAATCCAGTGAAAAAGGAATCAAGCTGGTGTGAAGCGGTCATGTCTAGGCAGGTAGTGCATGAATTCAGACTTTTGGGACTTTTAAACTTGCTCTAATGCACAAACTACTGCCAATACACAGAGATGGGGAGTGCTAGGATAGGGTATTCTAAAAAACTATAAGTCCCTTCTCTATATTGAGCACTAGGTGACACTTGTAGTGTGGAAGCAAAGTGAGTAGGTAGCAATATTTATATGTAATGGCACTTAAGTGTGAGCATGCATGTTTACAGTGCTGTAATCAGTCTGGAAGATATGTCAGAGTGATAAGAATATAATAAAAACACACCAGTGGACTTTAGTGAGGACATGGATGGGTGGACAGACTGTAGTGAAGGACCTAGAGCAGGCATGCGGGACATGCAAGTGCATTTGCATGTGCATGGCAGTTGCACATCAGTGCATGATAGCATGAGTGACTTATCCTGAGGGTCAGAGCTGGAGTATCAGTAGGAAGGGGTGGTGTATTGTCCTATAATGGCCATAAAGAGGCACAAGTCTCTATACCAGACCTACATCTGGACCCCACCTCCGACTCATTCCCAGATCCCCTTCTACTTACACCTCAGCAGGATTAGCTCCCCTATAGAATTACCCCTGAGCTCTGGACCTCCAGATCTTCACTACTAGCCTGATCTGTACACCCCTATCCTGTCCACCCTATGCACGTTCTGTTTAGCAAGACATCCAGACTTTACCTCCTCTTGGATTCTAGACTACATCCACCACCTCACATATCTCAGTCCTGTTTCCACCTTGCCTTCCAGATCCCCAGATCTCCAGACCTATTCCTACCCTCTGTCTGAGATTCTGCACCTATCCCCATTTAGGCATCTCCACCTTTCTGGTTCTTGGTTATCTCTGCTTCCATCTTACTGATTGATCCTTGTACTAGTTTCATCTCCAAGTTCATTTACTTATGTTCCATCTCACTTGCTAATATGTTTCCACATGCTCATACATAGCCTTACTCCATTGCTTACTGATCCTCTTGGATATCCTCTAGTATATACAGTGGCTCAAAAAACTGTCCACATGTTTTGACATTTTTCACTATCTATGATATTGTGTGAGAAGGAACAAACGCCTCAAGGACATGCTTATACCACATTGTAGTATGGCTTCAGGGCTTTCATTTGAGCCCTACACCGTGGGAATCGGTGGAGATATGGTGGAGATACAAGGCTCACAAAATGGTGACTCATGCAGACAGTTTTTTGACTCAAGTATTTTACAATAATAACCAGGTATTCTAGTATTTTGTATGATCTCCCTTGGCTTTAATTACTGCCTCTATCCTTCTAGGCATACTCTCAATCAATTTCTGGCAATCCTCAGCTGTGATCTTCCCCCATTCCACTGCTACTCTCTCCCAAAGCTCCCATACTCCTTTAGGGGGGTTTTCATAGGCTTAAAGCTTTTTCTTGAGTGTTCCCCAGAGATGTTCAATGACATTGACATCAGGAGACTGTGCTGGCCAGTCAAGAACATTGATGTTATGTTCTTCAAACCATTCCTTAGCTCTTCTGGATGTGTGCTTGGGATCATTATCCTGTTGGAAAATGATATATTCTTCATCAATCCCTGATTCTGCCAAGCTAGGCAGCAAGTGGTCATTTAAAATGTCCACATACTGCTCAG